CTAAAAACCTATCTTTTCAACTATGTCTATGGTCACCTCCCTCCTCCATCACACTATGTATTGTGTAGATGAATGTAGTAAAACAATTTGCACAGAGCGATGTTCAACAAGCAGCCAGGAGGTGAATGATCAATTTTATTTGGGGATTGTTAGCCAGGACACCAGGAGAAACTACCTTCCCTTTTTGGATGATGCCATGGGACATTTAACGTCTGCCTAAATAGTCTGACAGGATCTTGGATTAACGCTTCATCTGAAGAATGACATCTCCCAACAGTTCAGCACTCCTCCAGCACTGCACTGGAGTGTCAGCCTAGATTATGAGTTTAAGATCCAACATGGGGCTTGAACCCACAGCCTTCTTGACTCAGAAGCAAAAATCCTACCCACATGGACATAAAGCTGCTCTGGTTACAAATTTACAAATCAGAGCAATCAAGGGCTATATGATTTTCATAACTATATTGATGCCTCCTGAACAGTGGGTGTAGGCTGACCCTCAAATGCAGGACTGGGGGAGCAATGCGTTCTCTGAGGTTCTGTCCTTCAGATGAGACATTAAACCAGTGTCCTGTCTGTCTGTACTGGTGGATATTAAATTGAAAAGAAAAAGGAGTTTTTCCTGCAAAGTACACAGTCACTATACTTCACAGTAGCAACAACTTGCATTTATATAGCACCCCTCACGCAGGGTAGTGCCCCAGAGTGCTTGTGGTGATGGAGCATGACTCTGAGCTGGGGGGAGGGGGACGTGACTGTAGCTGTGGTTGAAGAGGAACATCTGTGGGCATGATCTGAAGATGGGGAATGGGGGGGCAAGGCATATGCTTTGACGACATGATAAGGTGCTATATCAAATGCAACCATCGTTATTACTAAATTCAGGTTCCTCTGCAGCAACCATACGTACATGTAACATCTTAAAAAGTCACGTGTTTATTTCAGTTGTTTTACCATATGTTTCTTTTACTGATTCGTGTCAACCAGTCATGCAGTTAGAGTCCTTTTATGTAGGTCGGAAATCTCTGGAGACCTCAGTGCATTAGTAAATGTTTCACAGGTGGTTCTGGTCTCTTAAAAAAGACAAAATAACCTTTAAAGTGCTACTAGGTTGAATTGCTGTTGTCCAGGTGTGTCCTGAGACAAGTAGTTTGGTCGTGGGTCAAACCAGCAATCTCAGACTACCTGTCACCCTTTCACTCCAGCAACCAGATGTTCAACTAATTCCACTAAATAAGAAACATGGTACAAGTATCATGCTCACAGTTGGGGGGAGAGGAGGGAGGTGTCACCAGGAATGTCTTTATTCTTTAACATGTATTTATGTTTACCAGAAACCTTTTCTTTTGTTGCAGCCTCTTGCATGATATCATGCAAACTATTTGATGCAATTAGTTGGTGGGCGACAGGTTGATGTGATTTCAAGCAGCTGCTATTCTGTGCCCCCTTGGAAAGGAATTGCCCCAAGTCTAGTCTTCCTCCTGATTTGAGAGGCGCTACACAAATGTAATTTGTTGTTGTTGTTATACCTCAGTGAATTGCTGGGGAGGTTCCTGCATTATTGGAGGTGCCTTACCCCCTCCCTTCCCACTACCAAACCTCGCCCAAAGACCGTCCTTTTTGATCGTGCTTACGGTCACCTCCCACTTCACTCTCCCCCTGGCTCGGGGTCAGACTCCACCACTGTCAAGTGCTCCGGGACGCTACCCCGCGTGGAGGGTGCTATATAAGTGCAAGTTGTTGTTCTTGTTGCCTTTTGAATGAGATGGCAACTAACATCATATCTGTTCAGGTGGATGTTGTGAGAATAATTGAAAAGATCCTTTTCTCCATGTGTTCTGGTCAACAATCATCCAGGTCAATTGGCCATTCATCTCATGGCTATTAAAAATAGCACTGGTGTTTTGTAGGCTGATAGGGCAGACATTCTGTCAAACAGCATGAAGCGAATGATCAATTTTATTCAGGCGAGTGTCTCCAGAACAGCAGGAAAACCTCTCCTCTTTTCAAATAGTGCCATGGGATTTTTAACATCCACCTGAACAAATACAGCAATTACATGTGTTAGCCTTGATTTATTCTGAAATGATTAGGTAGTATATAAATTCTTTCTTGACTTTGATGTGATTCAAGTGTTATATTATCTGTTGGAATTTTATCTCCAGTGCGGATAATCTGATCTACGTGTGACATGACTTGTAAATCACATTTTGTTCCATGTGTCGGAGTAAGCGGAGTGTGTCACCGAGGGGCATGTGAGATCTTTCACTGTGAACACCCTGTGGAATGATGTTCAGCAGAGAGTACCAATTATAATGTCAAAGTGTTTGAACTTTGGGGGACTGTACAAGTAAATATAAATCATGATCAGGCCTTCTGACACATCGCATCATAATAACAGGGTGTCAAGAAACAAATAGGGGCTGTTACAGGAAAGATAAATAGCTTTGTTGGAAAACGTTCAGATACTCTTAATGTCTCCAACAAAATTGATGTGACTGGTGCACAATCGTAGCAGATAAAGGTTGCCGTCAAATTAGCTGTGGTAATGTTTTTTTTGGGGGGTGCAGGAGGGTATGGGTTACGCTTAGAAAACAAAACTTGAACGACACTGTTAATAATAAAAAGAGATTTATTTTGAAAAGGAAGCTCTATCTGCAAAGCACTTTGAGACGTCTCGAAGATGGGATAAGCCGCTATATCAAATGCAAGGATTATTATTATTATTACTTTTTACATCTGTCTTCTCCAGACTCTCCTCCCTTCTCACTAACTCCCAGCTTGCTACTGGTACTCAATTATCACTTCGGGCTAGTAAACAAGCCTGATTGGAGTCCAGCCCTCGTAAGCTCCCTTTATTGTAACACCTTTTACTGAGTTGCACACAAAAAAATTACGCTCCTTTACACATAGGTTGTGTGCCAATAACCATAAAAAGCAGTGACAGGGTTTATCCCCCTGTCTCACAGGTTTTTATTTAAATGTTCATCTTTGCTTTCTTGCCTCCCCATCTCCCCTCTCACTGCCCAGTGTGTGAAGGAAGTGCTTCGTCTGTGCAGTGATATTTGAGGCCTTTACACACCAGAAGACTATAGGTTCAGATCCTGCTCTGTGCTGTGATAGCTGATCTCAGTTGGGCCAGAAATGATAAAATTACGATTGAACTCAGTGCTTCTGGGTTAGGGAGTGAAAATTAGTCAGGGTTTCTTCTCCTGTGAACGTCAAGTTGGGGTCAGGTCACTTGGTTGTGGTAACCTCTGCCCTTTAATCACCTGCTGAATTCATGGTCGGAGTTCACGCGTAACTAATGTGCGGCTTGGGACCAGGTGCCAGGCGATACCTGTAAAGCTGTACTCCAGTATCAAGCAAACAACATGAGCTCCTTTACAGTGGAATGAAACGAGAAAACTAGAGAGAGAAAGAAAGAGATCGATCTTGACTCTGGGCCACAAAATTACATCTACAAAAAAACTTTCAGTATTAGTATGCAGGTCTAGGAACACAGAAAACCAGGAAGTGAAGGAGGCCATTCTGCCCATTAATTAAGCCTGTTCCAAAAAATCATTGGATCTTGGCATATTTTTCCATCTTAATTCCTACCCTTTCACTTTACTACTTAATGCCTTTAGTTGCAAAGTATCTGTCTATATCTTGTTTAAACATCTCTATTGATTCCACCTCTACAGCTTTCTGGGGCAGAGAATTTCACATCTTCACTCTGTGAAGAAATACTTCCTGGCTGTCTGTAAAGCTCTGAAGAAACTTTACAATACCATCTGATCCATTCCACAGATAAACCAGGTTCACAGCCTTGTCTAATCACAGGCATTGAGTACTTGCAGTGGCTAAGATGATGAACCAGTCGTGTTTCTTTGAGGTTTCTTTAGGGCGGGAACCAGATTTTTATGATGCAAATCCTCTGAGTCACTATGTTTTAGCCACTGTTTGGATAAAGCTGTTGTTAGCACATGGTTACTGCACACAGTATGTACTAGCAGGATCTCCTTCATCAAGCCTGGCTCGGTTAGTAGCACTCTAGCCTCTAATTCAGAAGATTGTGGGTTTAGGACTATAGGTCAGAACCCATATTGTCCAGGCTGACCCTCCATGGCAGTGCTGGTGGTGTGCTGTATTATCGGAGGTGCCATTCTTCGGATGAGATGTTAAACCGAGATTCTGTGTCTGACTGTCCAGGAAGATGTTAAAGATCTTGTGAGAGAAGAAGGGAGTTTCATCTAATGTCCTGGCCAACAATCCCCCAGATAAAATTGATCATTCAGTTTACGGCTGTTTGTGGGATGTTGCTGTGTGCAAATTAGCTGGCATGTTTGCCCACAAAATATACAGTCACAGCACTTTACCGTATATTCTGTGAAACGCTTTGAGGAGTCTCAATGATGTGATGAAGCACTATATCAAATGCAAGGTTTACTTTGTTATCCATCATTCCCCTTCTGTTCCTGAATCGATTAGTGATGTCCTGTATCTAATGGCTGGTTTGCAAATACTGCTAAATATAATAATTGCATTTGATATGGAACCTATCATTTCATCAAAGCGCATCATAGAAGTTGCTGTGAAGTGTAATGACTGTAAACGCACTCAGATGCTACCTGCGTGAGGAGCGCTATCTAAATGCAAGCTGTTGTATTTGTAAGCAAACTATTTATGTATGGACTCAGCCACACATACAGATCATGAACAAAGAATGTGACATGTGGTGTGACAGCTATCACTGGTACTATCAGCAGTGCAGTTAGCACAAATGCAGACGCAACAGGCTAAGTGGTCTCCTCTGCAGTTACTAACCTGCTCAAAAGCTGTAAGGCAAAGTTTTCAGATGACCTCTTAGAGTAAGTTCATTGATTCTAAATAGTTTAGAAGCTTTTTAGTATAAATGCTGAGTCCTACTTTGAAAAGTGGGGCAAGGATCTGTATTCATTTTTTTTATTTAAAGCTTGCAATTGCCACATGACTAACTATATTCATTGTGTGTCTAGGGATATGAATTCTACCGGGAGACCCTGCATGCAATCCAGTAAGAACATCTCATAGGTGAGATCCGAGCCATGGATCAGGATGAGTTCCCGCCCCCACCTCCTGAAGGTAAGCCTCACCTTTGTGCGCGAATACTGTAGTAACATAGGAAATATGTGGTGGTGATTTTAAATACCGTGGGAGATCAGACCCTGAGGTCCACAGTGGATATGTTGGTCGTTCAGATTTTAGCAGAAAAATCTTCAGCGTTTTGAATGCTCTATACCAGGTGTTTAAGCTCAGCGTACTTGCAGTGTGGTACATTCATGCAATTATCATTCCTTATTTGGGCTTCCTAGATATCCTTGAATTATTCATCTAATAGGAACACTTAACAACAAAATTTCCATAGGATGTTTCCTTAGCAACTATACCGCCACCAATGAACCCAGTAACGCAGGAGATCAATTAAAATGGTGTTTAAAGTTTGAGCCTTGGCAACATTTCTCAATATTCTTATATTGTGACGTGTCTACTGCATAATTTGTAACTCCGACTTTAGTTTTACTATTTTCTCTCTTCTGTATATTAACGTCATTGGTACCGTATTGTGACAAACAGAAAATGAATTGGGGACCATTTGGGCAAGACACTTCTCTAACACCTGGTCTCCACACCACAATGCACTCACAACTTCATTGGCTTCTAGACTTTGGTTGGATTGGCCTGTTAGTTAAACACCTTCATATCCAGGTTTTTTTTGGTGGTTCAGTGGAAAAAAATGTACTGGTTGCATGTATCATTTGCCTATACTGAGTTAGCTTATGGCAGAGTGAATGAGGTGATGCAGTTAGTATCCGTACCACCAGACTAATATACAGTCACTATACTTCACAGTAAATCCTGTGAAGTGCTTTGAGACGTCTATCTGACATGAAAGACACAATATCAACTGTAAGCATTATTACTATTATCAATAAAAGATGTGGAGAGAAACTTTGGAAATGGGATTGATAAAATAGGGTGATTCTAAAAACAGGGAGCAGTGGCATAGTCATTGTGGGTTAAACAGCCACCTTCTGTGCAAGAAATTACCATTTGCACCTCTTTGACTCTAAAAATTCCCTTTCACACCCACATATGATCTAAATTGAATCAACTAAAATGTAATCCTTAATCCATAACATTTGATATATAGGAATGGCTTTGTTTATCAATACGGTACCAATGAAAAAAAATTAAAATAAATAATAATTAAAATTAATCCTTGCAGTTGATGTAACACCTTTCACCTCAGGATGACATCTCAAAGCGCTTCGCAGGATTTACTGTAATGTGTAGTGACTGCATTTTGTAGGCTAAATATGGTAATTAAGCAAAAATAGCGCACAGTTCTGTGGATTAACAGGGATGTAGCATAAAAAGGTGGAACGGTAATTTCAATGGAAGTCTCCAGGGAGAATGTTTTCTCTTCTCCACACTCTCACATCACTGATCATCTGAGAGTGTTTTCATTGTGAGAGCACATTAAAATTCAACAGCATATTTCATTTCTCGCAAACAGTGTCCAATGCTTATCGATGTAGCTGTTTTGTAAATAATTTGCATGCAATCTAGGTCAGGCATGATATTGACAGCTCAGCTGCATGACATTGTCTCCGCTTCAATACAGACAGTACAAATGTACAATCCAGCTGCTAGGTCTCCTGAGAACATAGTTTTAAAGCCTTTTATAGTCTGTTATTCTTGTCTGCAAAATTGGTTGCCACGTTCGCCCTCAAATACACAGTCACTCCACAGTAGATCGTGTGAAACACTTTGAGACATGCTCCCGATGTAAAAGGCGCTATACAAATGTAATTTGTTGTTGTTGGTTCATAGCGTTGAACTCTGTGGAATTGTTTTTAAGTTGCTTTAAGGCTTTACATCAAGACATTCAAAGGTATGGAAATGTCTACCTCACTATAGATTTGAGTGATAATTAGTGATAATTTTCATATTTCATATCACAGATTTCAGCCCAATGTTCTGAAATACACTCTGACCGTGATATATTACCCTGGGAGTGTGGATATAACACAGGAGCTGTGGCCCCACAGTTTACTGGAGCCAGCTTTCCTGCCTGCTTCCCACACTGACTGGGTAGCTTCCAACAGCACAACAAATTACATTTGTATCACGCCTTTAGCGTCAGGAGCAAGATTTATTAGTTTATTATTATCACAATGATTGGGCCTGACGCCATCCAGAACTGCCATTGGGCTTAACGTGCCACATAGTGTGGCATTTGCCTTCTAATAATAAAAATAATAATAATAATAATAATCCTTGCATTTGATATAGGTTCTTCTAGACGTCTCAAAGCGCTTCACAGAATATACTGTAAAGTGAATTGACTGTATATTTGTAGGCGAAACGCGGCAGCCAATTGCGCACAGCAATGTCCCACAAGCAGTCATGGATTGAAAATGATCAATTTATTATTGTTTTTTTTTTGGAGGGATCATTATTAGGTGTGTGGAGTAAAGAAACTTGCCCAAGGTTTCGCCCTGCCTGGAAGTTCATAGCTATTTCATAGTATTGAGCTCGAAGGGTTTTTTGTTTAGTTGCTTCCGCACTGACATGGTGCTGAGTCACAGCCACGGATGTCAGTGGTGTTCCCAATAATTCCTGGAAATACTGGGGAGAGGACTCGCTGCCGGACCCTGGCTTTTCTGCGCATTGCACTCAGGCACCTGAGGTGCTCAGTGACGTCCCAGTAATTACTAACAAGCAGTTGCACTTTAATGCGGCTCCATTATGATGTGAGGGTCTCATTTGATACGCCACCTCCCAACTTCCACATACTATTGGGTTTGGATGGTTACAGTGTCATGTGTAATCACATCAAAATACTGTACTAGGGTACATTGGAGCAAAGGTTCTTTTGTCTTTCCAGCAATTGCAGCCTCCTTTTTACTGAAAAACCATGTTCAGATTAGGGTTGGTTGAGTCTGATAACTAAGGAGCTGTTTTGTCTGTTGCATTTTGTGTTTTATATTTGGTTTCCTTCTCCTCATTTACTTGTGTTTTTTTCCTAATATTTTGGTATAAATTTATCCTGTTAACTGTTCAGCTGTTGCTGTGTTGTATATTGGAGGACTCAGGAACACGCAGATATGGACAGGCCAGGCGGTAAATCTTTACAAATTTCCCAAAGAGCAGAAGAATATGGTGAGAGTAGATTGATATTGCTCGAAATGTAAAGGCAGCACTGACACAGCCCCAATGAGCATAATGGTCTCCTCTTTGCTGTACAATTCGACTCACTTGGACACACTGCACGTCCCTCACTCCTCTCATACCATTGATGGCCAAGTTTTCAGCTGTTACACCCCTAACCTCTGGAACTCTGTCCTTCGACACACACCCTTCCTGTCCCCTCTTTTACTGTCTATAAATGCCACCTTAACACCTATGTCTCCCACCACACTATAATAATAATAATCCTTGCATTTGATATAGCGCCTCATCACATCTTCTAGACATCTCAACGCGCTTCACAGACTATACTGTAAAGTGAATTGACTGTGTATTTTGTGAGCGAAACTGTGGTCACCTCCCCATTACTTCCTCCCTCCCCTCCGGCTGGCTCGGCACCTGACCCGCCTTTATAAAGCGCTTTGAGACATTATCCTAGGTGAAGGGTAATAATAATAATAATCTTGCTGTATAAATGCAAGTCGTTGTTGTAAAGTTTCTATGACTCTTAGCATTTCCAGTAGGCATGTATAAGGAATAGACAGTGGAAGTGTTTCCTTGCATCAGTCCATTTTAGTGCCTGCATTGTGAAGCCAGATTTGCACAGTCTGATGTGTGATGCAGCCTGTGTTCAGCCTTCAATATTTTTCTATTGCTCCAGTCAAAGAAATTTAAAGCCATACTAGCCGAGGCTTCTGGTATCACTGCACGTGCATTTATATTGTGGGGGTAGCCTTTTGTTTACACTTAGAAGAACAGTTGTGGGACAATGGTTGAATTGGCAGTCATATTAAGTAATATCTGTACTGCATTTTTCTGTACTGACATTCTGCCAGTGAAGTTTGAAGCTAATTCTAGTAGATACAGAGTACTGTAACTCCAAGCAGTACATTTTACTGCAGAAATCAAGTAGCCAAAGGGATTCTCAGCTTCCTTTGTCTCCCTGGATGTGACCTTCAGTTGAAAGTAGCACCGTCACATGGAGAAGTAGCTGACAACGAGGAACTGATCATGAATAGCCGATTGTGTGAGAGCTTGTTTTCAGCTGAGCAGTGCCTACTCAAATGGATGTCTTATTGAATTTAAAGACAAGTGGGACTTTTGGTTGTTTTAGGAATAAATGTACTGGAAGCTGTTAAACCAGCCTTGTTTCTTGGCCCAGGTATATGTCTTGCCAACCACTGCATGTTCACCTGCCACAGAGGTGATTAGAATTGTGCTTTCAATACTCACTGTTATCTATTTGGGTCTTAAAATTAATAATGCACGGATTTCTCGCGCTGCACCTTATTCAGCTTTTGACTCACGGTGTTCTGGAATGCAACGTGAAAAAATGTTTTGAATAGGGAGAAGCTATTTCCACTGGTACGGGAGTCAGTAACTGGTGGCCCTAGTTATAAGCTAGTCACAAGAAGAACGAAAGGAGAGTTTGGAGAAACGTTTTCACTTGATGAGTTGTTGGGATTGGAATGCTGTGCCAAGTAAGATAGTAAAGGCAAGTGGGAAGTGGACTTCACAGTCAATTCACTTTACAGTATATTCTGTGAAGTGCTCTGAGATGTTTCAGCAACGTGATAAGGTGCTATATCAAAAGCAAGGATTATTTTATTATCCTGATAGGATAACCTTTTAGTTAATACCATCGCCGATTCATATCTTGCATGATGTCCAATTATCCGCACTCTTTGTATATCCGCAAAAGTGTCAGTCCAAATTAGTGTGCTTAATGTATCAATAATTACGTCCATTTACAGTAAAACTCATACAAGTCTTATCTTAATAAATCGTATAATCGCCTAAGTCGTACATTCACCTGAGTCCTATACAGTTTCTTATGAAAACCATTTAGATTTCTTTACTTAATCAGCTCCCAACTCGTAACTCCGCTC